TGACCCTACCCTACCCTACCGTATCGTAACCTACTCGATCCTGCGCTGAACTACTCTACTCTACCCTACTCCACTCTACTCTGGCCTGCTCCTACTCTACTCGACTTTACTCACAAGTTTCTGTACCCTGGCCGACTCGGTCGAATCGAATCGAACGCGACATATCGACCCGAGATATATAAGATAATCGAATATGCTATACTACCATACTCTGCTCTACTCTAGCCTATCGCATGGAGGCTTGTGGTAGGCAGGGCCGATGGCGCCCGCATTTCTCATCGCACATCCGAGTGCTACGTAAGCTTTACTGTTGCGGATTTGGGCGAGGGCCGACTGGGTAATCGGAGATGGGGCGCTTCAGGACAACGCAAGGCGTTTAAGCTTCCCCAGACTCTCAAAGACGCCGCCCTCCGCCTTCTCTGGAGGGCTTCGGCCCAAAGGCGCAAGGGCACGCCTGCCCACCCGACAGCACCCCTCAGCCCACAAAAAAAGCATGGTCAACAGGAGGGGAAAGCGGCCGACATGGAGGTCCTAGGGAGGTACTTCCTGCCCCACTCTACCAAAAACTGCTGGCGCGGCGTCTCTGCGAGGAGCTGCCTGCGCAACAAAAAAGGCAGGCGCTCGACCCAGCCAGCGAGAAGTGCGCGCAAGGTGCGCCCTTCAGTGGCGACGACAACTGCAGCGAGAGCCCCAAGGAAAATAAGGCGACTGCTGGGCCAAAGACAGGGCCCGCCTAAGTGCAAACACGCTGTGGGGATAGGGGCGCGGCGTGGACCCCTGACATGGCCTGCGCGGCGCAATGCAAGCGCTGCTGGGAATCGGAAGCAAACGTCGTCGGAGTCGTTGTCGTCGCGGTCGTTTCCCCCTGCGTCCTCTCCTCTCCCCCCCCCCCCTGGCAGCCGAGGGAAGGGTCGCGGCAAGCTGGGAGTGCGCGGACGATGAGAATGCCACTACACCCTGCCCCAGCTGCCCCAGCTGGCGACCATGATCTCGACAAACTGCGCCCGCTCCATCCCCTCGCGCGGGTTGAGGCAGCGATCATGCGCGACGCGGCCCAGGCGGGCGGCGGCGCGCCCCTCCTGCCTCTGGAGCTGGTGGATGAGCTTCGTCGTCTTGTTCTGGTTGGAAGTGTAGACGAACGCCGTCGCCTGCAGGCTCGCGCGCTCCGCGTTGAGCCTGCACTCGATGCTGCCGAATACTTGCTCCAAATGCCATCCGCGCGCATGCGACCACTGGATCAGCACGGCCTCGCCGCCGTTGCCCCCCCCCCCTCCTCGGGAGCGGCCGAGAGGGGGGTGCCCAAGAGGGGGGTGCAAATCATGACCGGCGGCACGCGCGCGGCCCAGCGGGCGGGCCAGGGGCGCAATGAAATGAGAACAGGCGCCATGAGATCTGGGGAAACATCACGGCCCACGCCATGATATCCCCACCCCGGTCTAGTCATGACCCCCCTCTTTGCCGACCGACCCCCTCTCCGGGCCGCGCCACGAGACTGCCGGGCTGCGCCAGGGAGGCGCCTGCCATCGCGGGCAGGCGCCGGTCGCAGCCGCTGCCGCGCGCCACGCGAAAGCTCGCTCGCTGGCAGGGGCAGCCAAAAAAACAACGGAGGAAAGGGGTCGCAGCGAATGCCGGGACCGCAGCTCTCCTGCGCCCTCGATATTATTCTGGTTCTCTTCAGAGTCCGCGGGTTCCTTGCGGCGGTCCTCGCCCTCCTACGCCCCCGCCCTACACGCGCCTTGCAAGGCTCGGCGTCGCGGCCACCTGTCGGCCTCGAGCGGCCCCCTGGGGCGATTGCGTCGCGGGGCCCTCCGCAGTTGCGCCGCGGGGGAGGGGGCTCGGTTTGGCCTCTTTACCATGGGGGGCCGCAGTTAGTATTCCTGCACATTTATAAACCAGATCTGCCCCCGCCATTACGTCGCCCCCCGCGCGGCGCGCCAGCTACCCCCGCCCCAGCAAACCACGAACTGCTGCACAAGAAGTAGTAGTAGAGCTCGTCGTTGTGACAGGGCGATGACGTCTCTTGCTGGGCCCCGCGCTGGCCGGCGTTTGCTTTTGGGGGCCCTAGCTGGCCGCTCACTGGTCCGTCGCAGACGATGTCCTAATATGCCCCCTCGCCGTCTCGACCAGTTCCCGCTTCTTCTTCTTCCAGCGCAAAGTCTTCTTGAGTGATCTCCCGGGGGCGTCCGATTCGAATATCTTCTGTGGACATGAGCAACAGCGCCCTCTCAATGGTCAACATACTCGTCCGAATGACTTGGATATGTTCCCACATTGAATCGATGACTCGGCCGCGGAGGCGGCGAATCGTTAGGCCGGCAAAGCGGGTCGGATCTACACAACCCGCAATTAGAACCTGTCTCTTTCCTCCGTGATATTCTGCCCTGCACGGACAAACTGGTGGGATTCGAACGACATAAACGCTCCGCCCAGCATGGGGCACGCGCAGATCAGGTCCACAAAGCACAAATACCCGGCCTAGGTCGTCGCTTGGCCAACCGTCGCATCCCCCCCACCCACCCACCCACCCACCCTGGCAAACTGCATCCAGCAACTGCTTTCCGCGACGTTGGCAGCACTGCGCTGCGCAGAAAGACCTCTGCGCCAAACCCTTAGTATTTGGTTTGTCGTAACTGTCCTTCTGGCGAACCAGTCTCGCATGCTGTGCCAACTCCGCCCGGCAATGCGCGGCAGCGAAGCTAGTTGTTTCTTTGCGGCAGCGAAGCTATCAGGGGAGTGGGGGGGGGAGGCGCCCTGCACGTCGGCAACTGGTCGCCTCGAGTGGCAAAGTGGAGAGAGAGAGAGAGAGAGAGAGAGAGAGAGAGAGAGAGAGAGAGAGAGAGAGAGAGAGAGAGAGAGAGAGAGAGAGAGAGAGAGAGAGAGAGAGAGAGAGAGAGAGAGAGAGAGAGAGAGAGAGAGAGAGAGAGAGAGAGAGAGAGAGAGAGAGAGAGAGAGAGAGAGAGAGAGAGAGAGAGAGAGAGAGAGAGAGAGAGAGAGAGAGAGAGAGAGAGAGAGAGAGAGAGAGAGAGAGAGAGAGAGAGAGAGAGAGAGAGAGAGAGAGAGAGAGAGAGAGAGAGAGAGAGAGAGAGAGAGAGAGAGAGAGAGAGAGAGAGAGAGAGAGAGAGAGAGAGAGAGAGAGAGAGAGAGAGAGAGAGAGAGAGAGAGAGAGAGAGAGAGAGAGGAGGAGAGGGGGGCGGCGGCCCCGCCGCGCGGCGCGGGGGGGGGCGCGTAAAGCCCCCCACCCCTTCTACTGCATCGCCTGGCAACAGTCCCTTGCGCGTCGTTCCCTGAAATGCGTCGCAATGCACAGTGGGTTCGCCATATATATCCCAAGAATTTGCGTTTTGTCTCGTAGTTCCTGAATCGCACAAGTTCCTGGCATACTGACATAGCTAATTTCTCCCCCCCTAGCACGCGGCGGCAGAGCGGGGGGGCCGTCGAATCGTGCCCGGCACGCTCGAGGACGCGGAGCCTGCAGCAGCTATATGCTCTGGCGGGCTGCGTATAGTAGGGGGGGCTGGGCTCTCGGTGGCCCCAGTTGAGCTGGCTCGCGCTGCACTCAACGGCGGCGGTTGAGCCGGCGCCCCATCGCCCACTCGAGGCCCGTTTTCGCCCCCTCCCCCCCCTGCCGAGCTGCTCTCGACCCCCCCCACACCCCCCACCACACGCCCATCCACCCACCCACCCGCCCCCCCTGGCACGCGATCGCCGCGTTGAGCGCCTGCTTGAACACAACCGCTCGGAGCCCTAGCAGCGCCGTCCTCTCGCCCGCCTCGTCGCTGCCATTGAAGAGAGCCACTCTGAAGCACGGGCTGGCGCCCATCGCGAATGTCACTCGTCACTTTAGCCAGGCACCCGCTGTCGCCCACCACCGCGTCGCCCTGGCACGTCGCCTGCGCCTTGCACGACTGCTTGAATATCTCCGTTATCACCTTTTCACGCCCCACTGCCCGTCAAGCGTCTACATCAATTCCTCGGGCGTCGTGAGGACTGGCCGCATCGTCTCTGGCAAACTCGCGTCGCTCTTCATCTCCGTGAGCAGGCCATCCACAAAACTGGCGGATACGCGTCCGCGCGGCAGCCCTAACACGTGGCCTTTGCCGAGCTCCTTGGCCTTGCAGGAGCGCTATGTCGGAGTGTCGTCCGGCAAACAACCCCCCTTCCCCCCATCTACTGCTGCCAGAGCCTGCAGGTACTGTTTGGCCCGAGGCGTCGAGCCCGAGCGAACCCACTTGTCCTTGAGCATGGTTACCCCTCTCATCTCGTCCATGGCGAATGTAACGAATACTGCTACAATGACCTATGTCGTACCCAACTCTGGTACCATTTGAAACGTCTGACGCGTAGTGCGGTGGCCGTTCTTTGCAACCTCCAATCGCGAAATACTTGCGCAGTCGTGTTGCATCTGACTGTCCCGTCCTCCCTATCCCATGACAGACCCCCCCTTGCCATCGTATGGAGATACTTCGCTAGCACACTGGCTAAGGCATCCGCCTGAGCAGCCTTAAGCGTAAAGGGGGTGAGTCCGCTGAGCGCAACTCCCATCACAGACCATAAACATTGGACGCTTCATTTGTCTGGGTGTGTCGGAGGACCACAATGTGCCGCACTGTATCCATGCAACTCGCACCGCTGATACCCTCCTCGCAGTCTCCCCCAACATGCCTTGGCCTGCTGGGAGGTAGGGGCCCAGAACACGCATCTCTCAGCGTTGTTGTACCTTTTAGTGGTTCGCCTCTGCGCAGTGCAAATGTTGCAGCGTAGTTGCCCGGGCCTGCTAGATGGACTAGGTGTTTGGTTTTCCCGCTGTTGAGTCCCCAGCCTCCCTTTGCCAGCATGCTGGAGAAACGTTCCGTGGTGTCGTTCGGCAGTCTCTCGATGTCCTGGTGTGTGTGTGTGTCGAGCGGAAGAATTGCGTGTTCGGGCTATGTCGTCAATAAAGGTATGCAGGACCACGTCGTGGTGGTTGCTTGTGAGCGGGTTGATGGTGTCGTGCAGTTGCTGGTGGGAGTCTGTTCGCTCCTATTCCCACCACCGGTTGACATGCAGGTTGTAGACGTCGTTGAATTGGGCAGAGTGTGAAGCAGAATGTGAAGCCCATTTGGGCTCGGCTCGAGGAGGAGGATATGGAGGAGGAGGAGGAGGAGGAGGAGGAGGACGAGGTGGGGGTCCCCTAATGGCCGCACAGTTGCTAAAGGCCTGGACTTTGGGCCTTCACTCGGGCCTCCGGCGGCCGTTCGGGGAGACCTTTGCACCCCCAGGCAGATCTCAGCGAAGCGCAGCTGCAGGAAGGCAGCACGAGGCTGGAAAAACGCGGGGGACCGACGACAACGCCCGAAGACCTCGAACGGACGCGGCGAAAAGAGGAGGAGGAGGAGGAGGAGGAGGAGGAGTGCCAGGGGGGGGGGTTGGGGACCCTGGAGGCCCGCGGCCCGAGGCGCCGCTGGAGAACGGCCCGAGTCCCGAAGCCGCGCGGCGACCCTGGATCCCCAATGACTCACCACACGGTGTGGTCACCACGCCGTTTTGGGCGCCCCAGAGAGGTGGAGGAGGGCGAGGAGAGTGAAGGGGCCCTGGGACACACAAACAAATACACACACACAAATAACCAGATTCCCCACATGTTCCTACATTTTCTGGGTTATTGTCTTCACCCCCATTTCCCATATGCTTTCCTATTTTCCTGGGAATCAGCGATGAATTGTGTCTGTGCGGTTGTTTTCCCTCCTGAAAGAAGGCGGAAGGCTGGAGGAAGCAGATGCGGCGCGAAGCCAGCGGGCGGAGGGCGGGGAGGAGGGCGAGCCGCGCCTCGCGGGCCCCGAAGCCTGGAGGGACGGCGTGGGCCTGGCTCGGCTCAGATAGGCCGAACGTCCAACGTCAGGTGGCAGCTCGTGGGAGGTCATCCTGGGCGATGGGGGCCAGTGTCACGAGCGGCGAGCGTATGCGTGGCCGCGCCCTCGCGGTCAGGGTTCCAGAGCGCGACCCCACAGATAGGCGGTCGCACGGGTGCGTTCAACGCGGGGCAGCCGCAACACGCGCCCCGTATCCGCGGGGTCACGGCCCAGGGGCATGGCCCGCGAGGCCGCGGATACGGATCTGTTTTTCGCCCACGAGTAGGATCGATGAGCCTCTGCGTTAGCCCTCTGTGCTAGCGTCAACGTGCGCGTGCCCACCGAAACAATTCAGCATGACGCAGGCGGTGTGATCAGGGCCGAAACAAGCTGAGCGCTATCTGTGGAGCTGGGCGGCGCACACACGCACTGGGCTAGCACCCGTCCTGAGGAGCATCGGGCCAAAAATGCTACTAAGACGATAGCATGCTCACAATGACTTAGGATGAGGACCAACTGGGAATCTCTGAGCACCAGCGTGCCTGGAGGACGCACCGAGCACCGCGGACGGTTCTGAGCGTTCCCAAGCGTTCAACAGAGTGTTCTGGAGCGCTCCTCGTCATAGGCCTGATTAGGCCTGCCCGAAGGTCTCCGCCGGGGCGATAATATATATATATATATATATATATATATATATATATATGTGGACATACAAACATTACAATACATACGGGGGGAAACAACAACTAAAAATCAAACAAAACAAAAAAGGGCTGCTGGGCCCGACGACTGAGCTACGCGTCACGCCAGACACGAAGCCGAGTGGGCCTGACGAGGCCGGATCGTGGCAGAGCCACGCTGGCACTGGCAGGATCTCGACCACGGGCGGCACAGGCCCGACGCTGCGTTCGACCTCCCGGGAGATGCATCCTGACAGATATAATCGGGTCGGGCGAAAGGGGGGGGATAGCAAAGGAGGGGTTTGAGAATCAGCTCACGCAGCTGACTTTCCCGGCGCCTCCCGGCGCCGGACGCGACTGTGTATCGAGGAATGGGCCCCTCGGTGGGGCCGAAACCAGCTGCATGCAGCAAATTTCGTAACTCCCCCTTCCCCCCTTTCGTCCGGCCCGATGTAAACAGTAGCTCCTGGGAGCTGCATGAGACATGCATGCGGCGGGCTCCTGCCAGGACGACGCGCGGCCTGGTTCTGGCACCGCTGGAGCCGCTCAGTCTTGAGCGGCCTCCGCCCACGCATGTACCCTGGAGGCTGTCGGCACAACCTTCTGCATGGACTTCGCACCGCGGGCTGTCTTCGGTGGCTCCCAAAGAGAAACACTGGCCGCCCGCCGCTGCCAGAGCACCCGACCTCGTGACGCTTGCTCGCAGCGTGGCTCCCGAGACGTCTGGACCCGTCAGGGCGGATGTCCTGTCCCGCCTCGATAACTCGGGCCCTCCGCGGCCGCTCGAGACGACCCGGGCGCCCCCAGAACGCTCTCGGGGAGGGGGAGGAGGGGGAGGAGGAGGAGCGAGGCGGAGGAGGAGGAGGAGGGAGAGAAGGAGGAGGAGGAGGAGGAGGAGGAGGAGGAGGAGGAGAAGGACGAGAAGGAGGAGGACGAGGACGAGGACGACGAGGAGCACTGGGGAGGGAGGAGGAGGAGGAGGAGGAGGAGGAGGAGGAGGAGGCTCCCAGGGGAGCAGCTCTGCGTCCAGAGCCGCCTCTGCCCGCCCATAGGGGCCCAGGCGGGGCCCCGGGCAGGGCCCCGGCGGGCCCCCCGACGCGGGGAGAGGAGGCCGTGCTTGAAGGGGCCCCAGGACACACAAATAAATAGACACAAACAAACACATTCCCCATATTTTCCTGTATTTTCTGGGTTTTCGTCTTCCCCCCCACTTCCCACATTTTCCCATGTTTTCCTGGGAGTCGACGATGAATTGTGTCTGTGTGTGTTTTCCCCTCCTGAGTGCTTTGGTTCACGAAGCGGCTGCTTCACTAAGCCACGAACTTTCGGAGCTCCGAAAGTTTGTGGTTGTCCAGCTTCTGCCTCCTCGAAGGGGGGCCAGAAAGTGCGTCTGACGCCCCTGGGGAAGCCAGAAGGTACCGATACCGCTATTCCCTGGACCTCTCCCGGGGGTGCGGTCTGACTCGAATTTCGAGGCGGATCCAGCGGTGGCGACGAGGGCCTCCCAGGAGGCCCGAAAAGGGGAAAACGAGCCAACGGTAGCAGTATGGGTATCTTTTCCTGCTCTGAGCCACGCCGAAGCGGCGGGCGCCCGCCGCAGCCTGGTAGATTGCCAAAAAACTAAGCCTAGAGGTGCCCCCGCGGGCGCACAACCGCCGGGGGCACGTAGAATCGACTGGCTGCCGCCGCGCTGGCCTGCCCGCCCCCTTGGAACGCGCACCGCGTCAAAGTTAGGGGGTGTAACTCCTGGGAGGACGTCGTCAGAAGGACTTCGTCAGAAGGACTCGAGGCATTCTCATCGTCCGCGCACTCCTTGCTCTGCTGCTACCATCTGTCTACTACCGAGACCCTCCGGAGAAGGATGGGGAAGCCCCACCGCCCCTCGCTGTCCTAAGAGGTCCCTCTCGGATTACTCAATTGCCCCTCGCCCAAATCCGCAACTGCACGTCTTACACTGGAGTCGGAGGTACGATGAGAAATGTGGACGCCACTGGCCCTGCCTACCACAAGCCTCCATTCAAATCAAGCCCGATTAGACCACAATTGGGCCGGCCGAGGCCAGATTGAGCCTGGCATCAAGCGGGACGAAGCCGAATTCAGCGGAATTGAACCCGATCTGTGTGGGGGGGGGGAAGAGGCCAGTTTTCGGCCAGGGCTCTACCAGCGCCGATGCAGACGTCTGACTCCCAGGAGCTGCACCCCGGTGGGAGGGTGCCTGCAGCCCTCTCCTCACCCTCGGCGGCGCGCCGCAAGGGGGAAGCGAGAGGGCGCGAGGTCTCCTCGGGGGCCCTCCAGCGTTTAGAAACGGCCCTCTGCTGCTTCGGCGCAGGCTCCGGGCCTGAGGCCTTCGGAGCTCTCCGAGCAGGCCCGCCCCCTCCGCCTTCCCCCCCCGGCGCGCCGCCGAGATCCCCTGAGACCCGACGTCTCGAGGAGATGGGAGCATCCTGCAAATCACGGCTGGGGCCCTGGACCCTTGTCCTTCTGCGCCACTTCTCGAGGCCGATCGATCTGTGACGGTCTCGGGGCCCGAATCTGGGCGCAAACGTCCGGCTCGAGACAACTGAGACGGAGGCCAAGATCTCAAGGTCCCTCCCCCCCTCGCCCACCGAAAGCCTCCGGAGGGCACCCGGCGGCACTCGTGCCCCGCTCCACCACCTCCTAAGGGGCGCGGCCAGCAGCAAGGACGACGCGCGGAAGCCTGGCAACATGCAGAGTCAGATGTTTGGCGGCGCACGTCCAGAAATCCGGATGTCCCAAAACTAGGGCCCCCAACTTCGCGCTTCGCGCTCCGCGAAGCGCGAAGAACTTCGCGCCCTCGTGGGAGCCCTTGCAAAAGGTCCCCAAGGTGCTCCCCAGAGGCCCCAGAACTGCCCCCCAGAGGCCGACAAGCGCGCTCCGACCGAAGAGGCCCCTCTGAGGCATCACTGAGGCCTCTGCCCCACGACGGCGTCGTCGTCGCCGCCGACGCCGCCGTCTTGGTCGTCGTCCCCACTCAGGGTCGGCGGCACCGGCCGCAAGGCATTCCCAATCCTCGCGTCACGAAAGATCCACCACCGTGTCTCGAGGAACGAAGTGGGATCACCCCCAGGCTCTCGTATTTTCCTTGTTCTCTGTACTCAGGACAAGGGGACTCTAGTTTTCTAGGTCCGGGGCCCCAGACTCTCAAATTTCATGGGCGTTCCCGCGCGTTCCTGGGTTGCCTCGCGTGCTTTTCCAGAGGCCAGAGCGCCCAATGACGGACCAAGAGGGCCCAAGAAAACGCCCATGAGGGTCCAAGAGGCCTCCAAGACGACCCAAGAGCCCTCCAAGACGCCCAAGAGGACCCGACGACGGCCAAAGAGGCTCCAAAGAAGCCCCAACAGCGCTCCAAGAGAATCCCCAAGAGGGCCCAAAGAGGCAAAAACATTGATCTGCCTCAGGGTATTTCCTGATGTGTTTCGCGTTCTCCCGTTTTCGGACTTCCGACGCACCAAGATGACCCCAGGGGCCGCAAGACCGCCCCAAGACGGCCCAAGAGGCCCCCAAGAGGGCCCCAGAACGGTCCAAATGGGCTCCAAAACGGCCCAAGAGGCGCCCCAGATCGCCCAACAGGGCCACAAGGCGGCCCCAAGAGGGGCCCAAGAGGGCCAAGATGGGGGAACACAAACCAACAAGTCGAGCCTTCCGCCCCAAGATGTCCCCAGGAGGCCCCAAGAGGCCCTCCAAGAGAGCCCAGGAGGCCCCGTAGAGCCGTAGAGGCACCACAAGGCCTCCAATAAGCAAAAAAAACCCACGCGTAAATGATAACGGATGCCGTGCGCCCTTTTGTCCGCGAGCTGCAAGACCCGCTCGCGCGATACAACCAGAAGGGAAGTTGTTCAGCGCACTGCAGCACACCTTGCTGGAAACAAACGGGGAAGCTCCGAATCAAGATCTGGAGGACATATGTTGTTATATCTCGCTGGGGGTCAAAAAAGGGGCTCCTGAAATTCAGAACGCGCACGGCAATGGAAATGATAATCCGTGCGTTGTGCATGTCATGATATAAACCCTCGAGCTCCTGTTTTCAAGCCCAGTGCAGATCCTGGCTCACAGGGGGCTGCGCTGCTTGCTGTAATTATCCGTCTGATGTTCCTACAACTTATCAGACGATCAACTCAGAAGCTGGCTCGAAAAGCCTAGAACGCACCGAAATTGCCATTCCGTAGAAAACTGGATTCGGAAACTACAATCGGAAAACAAACGAGTTCACGCAGCGCTATCGGAATGCGTGCACCGCCTGGTGATTAGGTCGCTCTTGGCCCCTAAGATTGGCAAACCAAACTCACAAAGTATGCCTTGCAAAGCGTAAACTGGTAAAGTCATGCGCTCCGTATCCGCGCTTGATGGTTGCCTGCGATTGTGCAACTTCATATCGTCAACCATCAATCGGTCCACGCTTGATGTAAACAGCGTCATGGCATCATCACTGAGAAGTTTCGTCTTAATGCGGTCCTAGGAGCTCGCAGGTGTAAAATAGAATGTGTGCTTCTCCGCCGTCTGCAAACATGTGATCACCCCAACGCACATCGTCATCAAAACACGAAGCACACTAACAATTATAGCCATCAGCATCAATCATTGTGCATGCTGTGTTTTGTTCTGTCACAACAAAAACTGAGGCGGCTCATCTAGAGGCTGCATCATGTCTGTCGCCATCTGGCACGACGATGGGTTGCACACCTCGTCGACTGCAACTGCTGGAGCACAACTGCTTGCCACCTCGCTTTAAAATAACTCCGCCTTCCGCGCTCGTAGTGATCCAAACGGCGTCATCCTCGTCGCTCAGCTCGCCTCTGCGCGGTGCGCCACATCGCGCGCGCCCATCCTCGAAATATCATCGCCTGCGCTGTAGTCCGTCGACTTCGCGCAACGCGCATTGAGATTGTCCGCGCCCTCTTGCAACCCCACCCGCTGCGAGCGCCAAGCCCAGCCCCGCGGGCCTGCCAACTTCCGCTTCCGCGCTGAAGGTGCTCGAGGGCCCGGCCCGAAGATCGCGGGCTTTCGTAGACGACCCTGCCCAGGCATGGCGCGCCCATCTTCTCGGCGAGTCTGCCCGCCACCCGCTGCTCCGAGCGCGCCCACTCGACGCCTCCACGCTGATACTCCCGTCGCGCGATCGCCGATTCGAGAGACAACCGCCCGCCCGACAAGCGCGCGCCCCCAGTCAACGCAGCCCCACGCACAATGACCGTCAGTCACCAAGACCCCACTCTTCAGCTGCTCGCCGATATCCGCCGCGCCCGGGCTGGCTCTGCGCAGCGACGTCCGCGCACGCAGCGCGCGCCCAGAACGTCACGCCAGGCGCTTCTGAACAGCTGTAGGCCCCCGCCGATGAGGCGTTCCTGTCCGCGCGCCCAACCCGCCCGCTCGCCCGCGAGACCAGCGCACGCGGGCACAACTTAGCGCGAACATCGGTTGCGAAACCAACTCCCACCACGATGTAAGATCCTTTCTGGCTCTTCAGATTCGGCAGGTCGCCACATGAGGCGTCGCGAGATGCGATGCCCACGGACATCTCAAAGTCGAAACCTCCACGAGAGACCACACGAGTCTTTCCTTCGCGCTCGATGCATCGGACAAGGCTGTTCACACCCTGCACCGTCGGCCCGGCAATCTGACCGACCAGTCGCGACGCTTCGACTATCAAGCGGCGCAGCGGGAGGGGCGCCACCCAATGCACCTGCCCGCTCTGACAACGTAGCGACTAATGTTCCACTGACACAAGCGGCCGCGTCTCCTGCTTCGACAGCCCCCGCGACGCGCGATGGCCCGTCATGCTGTCGACGTATTCGCCCATGTCGACGGTGATAAGGCAATTATGATCCTGCCTGAAAAATCGCCCGTTGAATGTCGACCCTTCCGATTTGCTGTGAAGTTCGCCCCAGCCACCAAAGTCAACCTGCTCCTATAGCTGCCGTGATGCCTGTCCAAAATTTGTCGTGTTTCGCCATGACTCATGCCATCATCAAACCATCCACACGCAGGCGCAGAAGTCAAAACAACTGCCCATCACGCGCGAGCTTGAAGGCTGCGGTTTAAAACTGCATCGGCCCCAAGCAAATATCATATGGCATCTGCACAACGCGCTTATACCAAGCCCTTAAGGCGCCGCTGGCGCCGCAGATGCTCTTGCTAGCCTTGAGTGAGCTTCCTGATTCCAGGGCAGGTGCGTTCACCCCTAGGAGGTTCTTGGGCAGCTTGAAATACAACGCCCTCTCGACCTTGACCCCCCGGAGAAAAGCCCTCGCTGCATCCGCGACGTAGCGCGAGAGACGCTTGCAAGACGCAGTGACACACACACACACAGGATGATGCACGAACGGCGAGCACGTCGGCGAATCGCGGCGTTGCTTCTCATCGTGCTTCCCCTGAACTCCATCGCCAACGTTCCTGCACTCAGGCTGGAAAGTGGCGCCGCAATCGTTGCCCCCGTTTGTCCACGCGGCCTGACTCTCGATCCGCGGAGCTCCGTCGATCCCCCCGGTCACAGTCGTCGCGACGATCGCGACCGCGTCGCACTTCGACCAAGTGCCCCACTTCTTGATGAGAACATTGAAGGCCTTGCCGGTGCGTTCTGTAGTGCGCGCATCATTTCGGTTCAGCACCTCCTCGATATCAATCTCGGCATTCGTTGGTCGATCAGCTCGTGCTGCAGAAAACGCTTCGCACGCAGAGTGGACGGTTGCACATGCTGCGCGCGCCCGCTTGACGTTGGCCGCTTTAGTGACATTGCGTCCGCTGTGCGCCCAGCTTGGGTAGACAGTGAGCGTCGCGGGCGTCCTTC